ATTTTTTTTTAAATTTTATTATATTATTTTTTTGTGCATGTACCGTCAAATCAGGTCTGACTGATACAGGAGGAGATTGTCCCTCCTTCTCCAGCAGAACATCTGGTGGATTTGAACCAGACACACCTGGGATTGCAGTGCAGCTTCTTGCCACTAGGCCACCAGAGCTCCCTGCATATTTTTATTTTTAAAATGAAGAAAAATTTTAAACCATGCATTGTTCCCTTGTGTTTGGACAATAGTTTTCTTGGTCTGATATGGGCATAATTAAATGTTCTGGGATTCCCATTCTTTTCAATGTTAGCCATAATTTGTTATTACCCACCAGTCAAATACCTTTACCTAGTCAATAAAACACAGATAGACATTCTTTTGGTATTCTGTGCTTTCAGTGAGGATTAATCTGACATCAGCAATATTCCTGGTGCCGTGGCCTCTTTTAAACATCACTTGAACTTTTGGCAGTTCTCTGTCAATGTACTGTTCTGGCCATTTTTGGATAATCTTCAATATTTTGCTTGCATGTACTATCAAGTGATATTGCTTGATGGTTGGCACATTTTGTTGAATTACTGTTCTTGAGAATGAGAACTAATATGGGTCTCTTCATTTGACCACAGACAGTTGTCCTCCAAATTTCTGGCATAGACTGAAGAGCATGTTCAGGCTGCATCTATTTTAGTTGTAATGTCATTTGGTATCTCATTGGTTCCTGGGCCCCTGTTTTTTCCAATGCCTTCAGTGCAGCTTGAGCTTCTTCCTTCATTACCATTTGCTCTTGTTCAGATGGTACTTCCTGAAATACTTCAGTGTTGAATAATTCTTTTTGGTTGGTACAGTGACTGAGTGTGTTCCTTCTATCTTCTTTTGATGTTTCCTGAGCTATTCAAGATTTTTGCCCATAGCAGCTCTCAGTGCTATTCAGCTTGACTCTTGACTTTGTTTTTGGTTCTTTTAACTTGAGAAATACTGAGGGAATTCTCCCCTTTTTATCTCCATGTCCAGTTCTCTGCACATTCTGTTATTATACTTTGTTTTGTCTTTTTGAAATGCCCTTTTAAATCTTCTGTTCAGCTCTTTCCCCTTTGCTTTGGCTTCTAGATGCTCTAGAGTCATTTCAGAGTGTCTTCAGACATTCATTTTGGTTTGTTGTTGTTCCCTCCCCCCCCCTCCATTGTCCTTGTAATGATCTTTTGCTCTCTTCATGGAAATAGCCTTGATTTCATCCCCAAACTCATCTGGTCTTCAGTCATTGGTGCTCAATGTCTCAAACCTGTTGAGATTATTTTTAAATTCAGGAGTGGTAGACTCAGGGATGTATTTTAGATCTTGTGGACTTGTATTAGCTTTCTTCATTAATTTCTTGCTACCACCTCGTAAAATCAGACCTTTTTGACTTTTTGCCTCGACTCCTACAGTTTGCATGGTCTCATTGCCTCCAGTTTTGACCTCTTCAGTTTTGTATTGCAGCAGTGATTTTCTAAATATACAGCTCACTGTGTCTTAACCAACTTTAAAACTCCTTGGTGGTTCCCCATTGACCTCAGGAAAAAGTTTAATTTCTTAGTCGTGTCAAATTCTCCACTGCTCACTCCACACCAACTTTGTCTACATCTCTCTTACTCTAAGTTTGCATCCTACTCTATAGTTTAAAGATTCATCATTCTCTTTGCCTCTGCTTAAAATATAACCCATTCCTTCTCCCTTTTCTTTTTGTCCTTAGGTTAAGTGTCTCAGTAGGAAGCTGCGTAAGGAACAGATATAACAGGGTTAGCCGAGTCTGACTTCTATCCACTTCATAAAGGGGAATTGTCCCCATCAGTAATACCCATTTTTGTTGTTATGTGCCATCACGTCACCTGTGACTCACAGTGACCCTGTATACCACGGCACTGAACCCTTCCCTAACCTGAGCCAGTTTCACTGATTCTTACATACTTATTTTCATTACCTCAAGTACTGTGTCAGTCTAGCTCATCTGGGTTCTTCCTTACCTGCTCTATCCCTCCTTTCCTCTAAGCATGATGTCCTTTCCTAAGGACTGTTACCTTCTGGCCATGTGCCCAAAGTATATGAGACAAAAGTTCAAAATCCAAGCCTCCAGGGAGAAACTTGGTTTCACCCTCTTTAAGACAGACCTATTTGTTCTCTTGGCATTCCATGGTGTGTTCAAGACTCTTCTCCAGCACCACAATTTTAAGGCATCGATGCTTCTCTGTCATGTTTAGTCATTGTCCAGCTTTCTGATGCATAGCAAGTAATTGTGAAGACCATGGCCTGGATCAGGCACATCTTAGTCTCTAGATTGACATTGTTGTTTCTCAATACTCTGGAGAGTCCAACATCAGATATATTTTGGCCAAAAGCAAAGAGTACTAAAGGAATGTCTATCTGTCATTCACTGACTATGCAAAGGCATTTTACTGTGTGGATCACAGCAAATTGTGGCTAATCTTGAGGAGAATGGGAATCTCAGAACACTTGGTTGTGCTCATGTGAAACCTTATTTGGACCAGGAGGCAGTTCTCAGAGCAGGAAACACTGCATGATATAAAAATCAGGAAAGGAGTGCATCAGGGGTGTCTCCATACCTTTTCAATATATTTGTGGAACAGATAATTTGGGAGGCTGGGCTTTGTGAAAAGGAATGTGACATCAGGATAGAGGAAGACTTGTCAACAACCGTCAGTATGCAGATGACACAACCTTGCTTGATGAAACCTAGAAGAACCTGAAGCACTTGCTGAGAACGTCAAGGAGTGTAGTCTTCTATATGGATTGAAGCAAAATATCATGAAGACAAAGATTGTCACCACTGGGCTAATTGGCAGCACCATGATAGATGGATGGAGAAGAGATTGAGGTTGTTAACAATTTCTGCTTGTTTGGCTCCACAGTCAACACTCTTGGCACCAGCAGGCAGTAATCAGAAGACGAATTGCACTGAGAATAATTTCAATAGTACCAAACAAACAAATAGCTACATGGTCTCACATACCACCCTACATCTTCTTGTACCCTTTCCTACAAATCATTACATCTAGTGTTTATTACAACTTGACTCATACTTATAGAATTTATTGGGAAAAAATTGAGGAGTGAGGGAGGCAAAGAATATCACCCATTGTAAATCCAGATTTAGTCCAGCAGTATCAAACCAGATAAACAGAGCACAATTCTTTGGTGAAAATCTAGGAGGTCCTGTTTAGCAGCATAGATGCACCTTTGGTTTCCTTAATCATTGAGCAGACATTATCTCAGAACTGTCATAAGTCAGCTTTTCATTCTTTCACCCAGAAAGCAAACTGTGGTTCCATCACCACCAGGGTTCCTCTAATTACACCTTTCCAGTCTTTTCACATCAGTGCAACAGTCTCTTCACCTTCTCTCCTACACCGTTTTTTTAGTGGAAAGTGCTTTCTTATTTTGGTCCCACAGCTGTTGATGATTTTCAAGACCATGCCCCCAGAGGGAGCCAACACAATGGATAGAAAAGTTAATTTTCAAGGTTTCTGCCACCACAGAAACTATATGGTATACCTTACCTCTTCATTCTAAGATGCTGTGTAGGATCTTTTAAATGATTTGTTATGTATGCATCTCAGAGCTGGATTATAAATAGGATGATTGAAGAAGAATTGATGTCTTTGAGCTGTGATATTGAAAAAGAGTACTGAATATCTCATGGATTCCTGAAAGAAACTGTCACTAAGTCTTGGAGAAAGTACAGCCAGAATGCTTCTTGAAGGTAAAGATGATGATGCTCTGTCTCACATACTTGAGCATGTTGCTAGAAGTTATTCCTTGGAGAGGGATAGCATATTTGGAAAGGCAGAAAGACTGCAAAAGAGAGGAAGACTCTCAATGAGATGGATTGACACAGTAACTACAGTACTGGTCTCAAGTGTGTCAGAGATGGTAAGGATGGCATAGGATAGGGTAGAGTTCAGGTCTGTTGTTTCCAGAGTCGCTATGGGTTATACTTGACAGCACCTATCAACAACAGCCTCTTTACTAAACTAGCTTGAGTTCCTCTTCAGTGTGCTTCCATTACTTTTTAGGAGCTGTCAAGTGTGCTCCATTTACCTTGTGTATGACAGGATGAAAACTTAATCCTGCACTATCCTCACAATCCCTAACTCTGCTTAAACCCATTGTTGGAGCCATCATATCATTCCATCTCATTGAAGGTTTTCCTTTCTTTCTCTGACTACTTTTCAAAGCATGCCATCTTTAGGGATTAGTTTTTTTTTAAGAACATGCCTTCTCTCTCAAAAACATGCCTTCTCTCTCTCTTTCTCTCATATCTGTGCTCCTAAGACGCCCTCTATCTGCACTTCTTCCAGGACAGATTTTTTTTGTTCTTTTGACAGTCCATGGCATATTCATTGTTTTTTGTCAACACCAAAATTCAAAAGCATCAGTAGTTCTTTACTCTTTCCTGTTGTTACTTTACTGAGTACCATCATACTTAGTACTTACTCTTTACACAGCACCTGTGTATCATTACTACCTGTCTTCTTGCTTGCTCTCCTGACTGACTGTAATCTGCTTTAGGGCAAACCATGTTACAGGTGGTACAGCAGAGTGGCCAAGAGCCAGGAACTTAGATTTCGGGCTGCTTGAGATGAAATCTTAGGTCCACTCCATACTGCTTCTGGGACTTTGGATACAGTTAAGCATTATTCTTTGCTTCAGTTTTCTTATCTTTAAAAGTCCATCATAGTTTAACTGTCAATGTAAGTTATTCTGATTATTCTCTTTACTTTTACATTCCTGTTGTTTGATGCAGATCCAAATATATAAGAAACAGTAAATGTTTGAGAAAGAATATATATATGGTCATCCTTCTGTGTAGCTGTCTTCTCATTGTTTAAATTCCTTAACTCTGACAAAAGTTCATGGATTTTCAGGTGAATGTTCTTTCTGTTTGGAACAAAATATAGTACATTTTGATTTTTCCATTTTAAAGACTTCATTTCTCTTCTCTTTCCATGCAGTGGCCAGCTTGGCAAAGCCTGGTACTTTTGCTGGCAATGATGCAATTGTAGCCTTTGCAAGAAATCATCAATTGAATGTGGTGATTCATCAGCTTAATGCTCCTTTGTGGCAGGTAAGTTGCCATTCAGGAATTATCGTAAGCTCTTATTTATGAATTAGGTTTCTGTCCTAATGGGATTTGTGGTATTTTGGACTCTGAGCTTAACCAAAGGCATGGGAAGCTTAGGTTTTTGAATGAAACTTACTAGTGTTAAGGCCAGATAGAATCTAGATTATACCTTCAGAAATATTTTTAAATGCAGGGATATTACTTAAAATCCGTTAGCTGGGTCATTTAGAGGCAGAAAACATGATGTAATATGGAAGCGATTGGCACAGGATAGAGCAGGGTTTAGGGCTGTTGTACATAGGGTCGCTATGAATTGCAAATGACTCGACGGCACATAACAACAACATCTATAAAAATACTGAAATAAGAATTTAAAAGTTAGTGCATACTGATTCTAGCTTTAAAAAATTCTTGTTCCCATATGACATGTTATCTGTTTTTTTCCCCAGTGAAAGGAAATGAAAAATTAATTTTAATAACCAATACTAGAAAGTATGTTTCCAAAAACAGAAAAATATTTTCAATGACCTAGATTCCACACTTTGTTTCTAAGCACTGCTCTATGCACTTAATGATTTAAGTTATTTTTCTGCACTAAGATTTTACATCAGTGCTAAGTTTCCATTGTAGGATAGCAGAGAACATTGCTAAACTATTAAGCTTTCCTCCTTTTTTAAAAAATCTGTTGTGCAGTATTGACTCAAACTATCTTAGGTACCCTCAGTTAACCTAATCCCCTAAACCATCAAATCAGACATCCAGGAGTCTGGAAGCTCAGAGGCTGGGATAAGAGAAACACAGGCTTTAACCCCATTTGCTCTTTCTCCTTGAATTCTGAGGCATCCTTACCACTTTGCAATTTAACCTCGAAGACTGGGTAGGTGATTTCTATCTCTCCTTCCTTTCTCTGACCATTCCCTCATGTTTTGTTTTTTTTTTTAAATTAAAAAAAAAAAACCATGAAACAAAACATCTTGAAAATTCAGAAAATCCTACATAGATAAATAGAAATTCTCTAGAGCTGAATTACCCAAAGGTTATCAGTGTATAATTAGTGTGTATCTGTTGCACACCCAAACCAAACCACTGCCATCAAGTTAGTTCTGTCTCATGGAGACCCCATGAGCTCTAAATTTGAGCTGAGGGCCATAGAATTTTTGCTGGCTGTTGTTTTTATGGAAGTAAATTGCCAATCCTTTCTTCCAAGGTACTGTTGGGTAGTTTTGAACTGTCTTTTGGTGAGATGAGTGAAAACCTTTTGTTATACTGAGGTCATACACACACACACACACACACACACACACACAGACGAGTGAAAACCTTTTGTTATACTGAGGTCACACACACACACACACACACGTGTGCTTTTTTGAGGAATTCCCAAACTACCTTCCATAGTGATTGTACCATTTTATAGTCCACCAACAGTATATGAGAGTTCCTATCTCTTCACATCCTGCCTAACATTTATTTTTTGCTGTCCTGTTAAACTTTGCCACTGCTGCTGGGATGAGTTGGTATCCCATTGTGGTTTTGATTGGATATCTCTTATTGCCAGCATTTCTTCGTATGTCTGTTGGCCATCTTAATGTCTTCCTCTGTGAAAGGTGTTGCCGTGTTGTTTGCCCATTTTGTATTTGGGCTATCAGTCGTTTTCTTGTTGAAAGCCCTGCAGTTTTGGTTATGAGACCCTTGTCCATACACACCCATTCTTATACATACACATTTATGTATCCTTCTGGTGGCCTGGTGGTAAAAAGCTGTACTGCAATTCTGAAGGTACATGGTTCGAATCCACTTGCTGCTCCTCAGGAGATGGATGGATAGTCTCCTCCCATGCAAAATAACTGACTCTGAAAATCTCCTGGAGGGTCAGCTATGGGTTGGTTCCAGCCTGACAACACCAACAGCAACTATAATCATTGTCATAAAGAGCACATTTTTTGCGTGTGTTTATTGGTCACTCTGTAAATTGTTTATTCCTAGCCTTTGCCCATTGAAAAAATACTTCCAACCAAATAAGCTCTAGTTTATTGAGGTATAACTTACTCTACGAAGGAAAAATCTACCCTTAATTGTACAGTTAAGCTTGTTTTGAAAAACATACAGTCATGTAACAGCTATCAAAATATATTTCTACTTCCCTCAAATTTACTTCAAGCGCCATTATAATCATTCCTCACTTCCCTCAGCATCTGGCAACCAATAATCTAATTTTGTGTTTACTAGCTCTGCCTTTCCAGAGTGCTATGTAAATATGCCTGGCATAGTGCCCTTTTAACAAAATTATATTACCACAAAACAAATTAGAGCCTTTTGGGGCTAGGAGTGCACTTTTACCCTACAGGGATCTAAATGAGCACCAGTGAAACAATAGCTGTGTGTGGTCTTTGGTGCAGTGTTGCCAGATATATTGACACCTGCTAAAGAGATCATATTTTTAGTGAGGCTTTCTCTTCCTAAGGATTGTTTCTGAGTCAAGAATATAGGTTATTTTTCCCAAGTTTTTTAAGCAGGTCGTTAAAATAATATTGTGTCACTGAATTTATTGTTATCAAAAGAATTTGAACAGATAGTACACGGTGACACTGTCCTCAAAAAGCAAATACTCAGGGCCATTTAAGCAACCAAGCCTGCCTTTCTTCTCCATGACAACTTTCTTTACTTTTTAGTTTCTTAATTAGTTCAGTAATTGTAGAAGATAATTTCATTTAAAAAAATATTTTTCCCCTCTCTAAATTTATTTCATTGGTGTTTTTTTTTCTGTGCATTTCTAAATGTTGAAAATATGTTTTATTTTTTAAAAAATATGCTTTTTTTAAGTAAAAAGCTTATATTTTCTATGCGATAGTGTTTTCCACTGGTTCTCCCCCATTTTTTCTAACCCTCATGAAACACCTTGTGAAATTTAAGAATTAAAGCTAAGGTGGTTGCCACTGTCAGGAATCTTTAAGGGCTCTTTCATTAATAATGAGTAGGCCTTATCCTTACAACCTGGAGATACTGAAACCTACCTCTTCGTCTCCACACTCTGCTTGCAAAAGGAACATGTGGGCACATATGCTCCTTGTGCAGAATGTGGAAGTTTGTAACATGTAAAGTGGAAATTTCCTGTAATTTTATTCTTCACCCTGTTTGGTAGACTTTCAGCCCTAGATATTCTACCTGGACAAAGTTCTCTACTTTTTACTCTTGGGCCTGTATGTTTCGTGTTTACTGTGTGATTTTTACTGTGTGTTTAGAACATGTTGTTGTTATGTGTCGTTGAGTTGCCTGCAACTCATAACAACTCTCTGTACAACAGCTCTGAACCCTACCCTGTCCTGAGCCAGTCTCACTGACTCTGACAGACCTACCCCCGTTGCCCTAATTACTGTATTAGTCTCTCCACCCTTCCAGGCATGATGTCCTTCTCCAGGGACTGGTCCCTCCTTGCCACGTGTCCAAAGTAAGACGGAGCTCCAAAATCCTAGTCTCCAAGGATTTCATTCTCTCCAAAGCAGATTTATTTCCTTGGTGGTCCATGGTACATTCAAAACTCTTGTCCAGCACCACAACTCAAAGACATTAATAATTCTTCTGTCATCTTTGTCATTGTCAGCTTTGAACATAGATCTTACTTAAATTAATGGTACTATATTAACTACCTGTGACTTAAAGTAAAAACAAGAAGATACATTTATTTTAGAGTACTAACAAAGAGATAGCTAGAGAACTTGCTTATAATGTAATAGAGCTGTTGAGGAGAATCTGTCACTTTTGGGGACTTTCTGAGGACAGATTTAGAAAAACTTAATTTTTTTTCCTTGATGGTATATATAATATAGTGGGTTTTTTTTAAAGTTTAT